ATTGATATACGTAATATATATGAGAGTATTATATTTATATATTATGTTAAATTATTTTAGCTGGAAAAAAAATTTGATTATGTAATCCGTATTTTTTTCCAGGTAAATATTTTATGTATCAATAATAATTAATAATATTTATTTATTTCTACTATTTATTTGTTTATTTATATTATGACAAGAGGTGGGGTAGATGAATTCCAAAACATATCATTTTAATTACTTAATGTTTTTCCTCATTACCCCAACAAATTCTTTTCCATTTGGGCTAATTTACCCATTATAAGTTAGTGGATTTTTGAAAATAATGGTAAAATATCAATGACTTTGCAATAACTTTCTTTGTAATGGATACCTTCCTCATTACCCTAAAAATTCTATTTCATTCCATTTGGGGTAAAGTACCCCGATTCGCTGAGTCCTGCTCTGGAGTTGTATTAACGGTAAAATGTTAATAACTTTTTAATTGACAGCTGTTAACCTATGTTTTTGCCATTACTATCCTATTTTATATTTCTGTAAAGATATAATTAAAAAAGAAACAACATTTCTTCTAAAATTCTAAATTACTATTGATTGAAAGATGAACAATCGAAATTAACAAAATCTTTCTCAAATTTCTTTACTTAAAATTATTATTTAATTATCAATGAAAAGTGAATTTCATTGAAAATATTGTATTTTTTTTTATTATTTTAGAAATAAATTTAGAGTTTAACGAAAATTTTGAAGTAATAGTATTAGTAAAATGTGTTTTTTTTATATAATATAATTTGTTTTATTTTTTTTTTCACACAATCATTCATGATTCTACTGTTTGTTTTCTTGAACCCGAGTTCAGCAATTCGATTCTCTTGTGAATTCTTGGGATTACTTTCGTGATGGATTTGAAGGCGTGTTCGTTCTGTGATCTCAAACATTTTCTTTATCCTGAACGAATAAGTATTTAGTATAGCATGACCATAGTCAATACATTTTCTGTTACATAATTATGGTTTTTAATTGAGGTTTTTTGTATAAACAGCATTTTGTCCAACATGGATATATTCGAAGAGGAATCTGATAGATAATTAGAGATTACCTAGAGCTGGGTTGTACTCTCAAGAGGGAAGACAATTACATCGTTATACCTGTCAAGTGATGTAGGATCTGTAGACCAAGCTTAGAGAACTAAAGCAATGTTAGCATTGAGTATATCCAATAATATATTATACTCAATTCACATTGCTCTATTTTATAAAAGTAAAATCGTAACTAATTTTACTTACTTTTATTATTTCAGACATTAATTAAGTTTCTTCTTGACCTTAAAATAAAATTTGTATTGATTATCCAGAAACTTCATAAAAACCAAGAAGTTTTTATATTTTTTTAAATGTATGAAATATATAACCTTATCATTTATATACAAAATTGAATTATATTCTAGTGATTACAAAAAATGGCATTTAATAATGATTCTGATCATAAATAGTTAAGATATATTACCAAATTGATTTCCAAATGCTGACGATGCATTAAAAACGTAATGAAAAATATTGTATTCGTTATTTAATGGCCATCATGTAATGGAACGAACCACCGAAGCAGCGTATAATTGCAGACCGATAAATATTAAAATTTATTGTGAGTTTTTATTGATATCATGCATTATTTAAATTATTCCATGACAGCGTTCATGAATTTCACAATATAACTGAAACAATACATTTTTAATACGCAACAATGTCATCTTTCTTTTCGTTGCCGATATGTTTTGTCATCTATATGACATGCAAAATGTTATTAATATGAAATAAAAATAAAGGATCGAATGTAGCTATGAAACAACGAAAAACTGGTTTCCTGTTTTTATAAGCTTGAAATAGTCAAGCATAGCATCACTTTAACCTGAATGCGGTTTCATAGAATGAGCTCGAGGCTTTTCCGTTTCATTGTACTCTATAGCTGTCTGGACTTTATTTGCTTCTCTTCCTATTTTATTTTCTAGATGTTTCTTTTGAACAAACCAACTAGTGAAATTGTTAATAATAATAATATTTATTTCATCAATAAAAAATACAAAATTAAACATTTTACATACAATAATAATAAATCAAAATGTTAATTGTGCAAAAGGCTTTTAGCCATATTTCGTTTCATTATTTTCTAATTAGATTATATAAATATAATGGATGTAATTGAATACATAAATTTGATGAATTCAGGATTTTTCAGAAAACTGCTCGAAAACTGAAATGAAATCTATAAACTGCATTTTGTCCAACATGGATATATTCGAAGATAAATCTGATAGATAATTAGAGATTACCTAGAGCTTGGTTGTACTGTCAAGAGAGAATACACTTACATTGTCATACCTGTCAAGTTATGTAGAATCTGTAGACCAAGCTTAGAGAACTAAAGCAATGTTAGCATTGAATACATAAATTTGATGAATTCTGGATTTCTGCGAAAACTTAAATAAATTGAACGTTGTATAAAAATTGAGAACAGTGGTTTTCGAAAATATTGATTGAATTCAATTATTATATAAATGCATTATACTATACTGAAAATTATTATAAATAATATATAAATAACGGTAATTAAGTAATAAATCTTAATATAAGATATAAAATTTGATATATTTATGACACTTTTTACGTTTAATTTTAAATCAAATCAAGTGCAAACTTTAAAAAATCATTATATGATAAATAGTGCAATTTGGTTATATTTACAAATATTTAATTGCTTTTTTTATATACTACAAATGAAATTTTATTTATATTTATATTTTGTTTGAATTATTTTAAATATAAAATACAGTGTGAGTATTTTACAAGACTAGTAAAAAAAACTTGATAATATATGAATATTATCGACAAATTCATTTTAATATAGTTTTTATGAACGAATATTCTTGAAATTGTAGATGCGCCGGGTTCCTCATAATCGTACATTGCATATACGTAGTGTAAATATCGTAGGAAACTTGTCATTTGTCAATATCATTTGATACTTTTTTTTTATCATTTATATGTCGTTATTATACTTATTCGTGCAGAAGTTTTCCATAAAGCCCTACAATGTTACTTAGCGAAGATATTACATTAAAACTTATTTTGAGCGAATAGCGAAGACGAAGTTTCCTGCTTATTATATTTTTCTCTTATTAATTTTCTCTTGCCGTAATGCTGCAACTATATTTATATATAACTTAAGAACATTTTAATAAATTAGTATTTAAAATATCAATTTCAGTAATTGAAAATACTGCAATTATGCTTATATATTGTAAATTAAAGAAATTATTTTTTTTTATTTTATCATTGAAATGAAACAATTTAATATATTAGTTTTTAAAATTTTATTTAAGGTAATTGAAAATACTGCAATTATGCTTATATATAGTAAATGAAAGAAATTATTTTTTTTCTTATAATAATATATTGACCAAACATCGATACATAAGAAGAAGAGAAAAAAAGTATAATTTATTCATAAATAAATTTTAATATACAATAAAAAAATATATATTAATAGGCTGGCCAAAGGGCTAACGACCGGTCTTTCCGCCCGGGAACATAAACTTTATTATGAAATAATATCAGTATTATAATAATAATAATATACAATGAACAACAGAAGAATGAGGAAAAAAAATATATATATAGAGTTGTAGTTTCTTTTATAATAATCGAAGGATGAAGGGAGTAGTTGTAGGGTGTTTTTTTTTTCTTATTTTATCATTAAAATGAAACAATTTAATAAATTTCTGTATAACATTTCTATTTAAGTAATTACACGACATAAAATAAAAATTACACAAATTTACAATATGTTCATCAATGTGAACCTTGAGTAAATTTAAGATTGCGGTTGACATTAGTTAGGTAATCTTCTCCGGTGAATAGTTACCATTACGATGATATGATTTTTATGACCATTCGGTTATTAGTATTTTTTTTCTCTTTTTTACATAATCATAGCTTTTAATTATCAAATATTATATAATATTACTTTCTATAACATTTTTTAAAATCAATATCTCTTGGCAACAGTTAATTAACAGTTAATTTTTGTCGAAACAGAAACAGCTTTGATGAATAAAATAGAACGTGTTATACTTATTAGCAACAAAATTGTCTTTTATCTTTTGTAAATGATGCATATACACTGAAACTATTTCAATTTACTAATGAAAACCATAAATATTATTTTCTCCTCCTTCTTGAATTAACATTATACAATTTAGTAAGTGATGAACTATTTCAATTATATTAAAATCTGCGAAACATTTTTTGAAGGTAATCTAACTGGTAGAAGTGCGTTTCTCTTTGAAATGAAAAT